TTAAAGACAGTCTGACTGTCAGCCTTTCCCGCAGCGCTTCCCCGCTGTACAAAGAGACAGTATTGCGCTATGACTGCAGGAGAAACGAGGTCCAGATTCAGCGAGCTTTTGTGAGTCCTGGAGCACTGACTTCACCTGCAGTGACTGTCGCCTCACTGCGTCACCATGTGTCGCGGCGCGCGCTCCTCCCGCAGCAGGCAGTGTGGTCGTTCGGCATCCGACCGAAGGACGCGTCGTCACGTAAACATGTTAACAGTTCAGCGTTCATTTTGGCACACCCGAACCAGGTCCGGATAAGTTATGTTTTTTTCCCCTCTTCATTTGCGCTCTCAGCCTCGCTGCGTCACCATGTGCCGCGGCGCGTGCTCCTCCCGCTGCAGGCACGCCGTCACGTAAACATGTAAACAGTGGTCTGGATAAGTTATGTTTTTTCCCCCTCTTCATTTGCGCTCTCAGCCAGGCTGCTTCCCGCTTCCTCTGTTTTGACTCCAGCCGGTTACATCATCAAAAACAATTGCGCAGTTGGCCGGTAGACTGCAGATCTCTATCATAGGACAAATTTATATAGTTTCTACCATATATCGTTTATATCGCGCATTCCTAATCACACCTTATTTTAAAAAAAAGGTAAACAGAAAAAAAAGTCATCAATCCTTGCGTCACTGCCTGATGTGTGAAACCATAACTTCAGCGTTATTTTCCAGCGTGCTACCGGACGTTATAAATCCTTTCACACTTGTTCTGTTAGCAGGAGAGCTAAATGTCTGTGGTGAGATGAAAATCACAGCCCGTCAGGTCAGGGAGCAGAACGGGCTAACTGGATTAAACCCAATCTGAGGCCAAGCGCTCCTGCAAAAGTGTCACACACTGAATCAGCATTGGGCAACACCTTACCTGGTTACTACTTCTATTTTTAACTGCTGAACAAATAAATCTGAAACCATTTTTTGCCTCTCTACATCGCCGCTACAAAACACTTCCTGAAAGTTTTTCTACCTTTTCAGGTCACTGATCGCTCCCGTCTCCAAATTGGTGAGCTGCGTCCTCCGCATCTGTTTGTCTCAGGTCTGTTACAGCCACTGCGCTCTCATGATCAGCATGATAATCCCACAGTTTTAAAAATATATCCTCTAGTCTGTGCAGGTTTAAAGTTTAGTTTCTGCTCTGACACTCCTGTCTGTGTGGCACACTCTTCTTCCTGTGTCTACAGCTGCCTGGGGGCTCGCCAAGCTCAGGTGCTAAGCAGCTTTGAGGCTTGGGGAGTAATGTGGATCGTCAGAAAGAGTCGCACTATGGCACGCGCGCACACACACACACACACACACACACACACACACACACA